AGGGCATGTTAACCACACCTTTCATTCGTCCATTCATTCATACATCCAATCATTCACGCAGACAAAGAAATGTAAGCACACGCGCCTGCCCTGCAGTAGTGTGGCCCGGCACAATGTAGCTGTAGTAGCTGGTACACAGTAAGCACAGTAAGCTGGTACACGCATAGCACGACCACCAGCATCTCGAGAGGCCTTTTCAGCGGCCAGCTACTAAATAATGCATGAACGTCACATAGAGGAAGGTAGCATAATACGAGCCGTCAACGATAGGACCATCACCGCCAACCGGACTGCGTGAACCTGTCTCCAGTGCGTCACGCAGCACACTGACTGCCTTGACACTTCCAGTTGAGGGATCCATGTCAAGGTCGGCCAACCTGTCTGTCAGTGAATGGCGGTAAGTCAGCCACAAACCAGTCTGTACCTAATTCCAGGTTGGATAGAGCCTACTTGAGAGTGGCGCGCTGGTTCTGTTTGTCCTTGTAGTTGAGATCCTGGGACGAGATGTTGACATGGGGCATGCGCTTGCTCAGCGCGCGCAGTGCAGGGAAGCTGATGAGGTATGGCCCGATCATCATCATCTTCCGGGGGTTGATGAGCTGGCGCCTGCAGCATGTGTTACAGCGTCGACATTGCTGATCCTATTTGGTACCAGTCATTCGCCCGTGAACACATGGCCATGCTCCTGGCTTTTAATGTACCCCACAGCAGGCCCACGTACCTTAGGCGCCAGCCAATGTGCATTTGGTCAATAGTCAGCACCACGGGTTGGAGCACGGACACCCACGTCACTGCAAGGAGCAATGTAAAAAGCTACCTCCTCCGGCTGGCGTTGTTGTCCTTTGACGCTGAGACCCCGGATGATACCCCGCAGCAACTGTTGAATTGTGCCGTCAACGAGTCCTGAATGTCAATCGATGTCCGATGGTTAACAAGTCAAGGCATGTGTACGCGCACGCCAGCCTACACTACTCACGCATGCCGACACTGCATCATACCTCGTTGTGATGTTTCGAGCAGTCGGACGAGTTCACTGCGTGATGCATCTGCCTGAGCATATGCCTGTAGCCTCACTCTATCAGCCTGGAAAAGGGATGTCCGCCGCTTAATCTCCCTGTCCAGCGCTATTCGATCTGCCCGCGGATGTGACCGCCTTGAGCTCAACATGTCCCACACGCTCAAGTCCCTCGGCAGAACGGAAGGGGACAATGACACGTGGGTCTGTCGCGACTCGCTGTGTCGCAGCGACTCGCTGTGTCGCAGCGACTCGCAGTGAAGCAGCATCGGCTGAACGCTTCAATTGGTGATTTCTGTTGAGGGCCAGACACGCGGCACACGGCCATCCAGCTGCGGAGGAGAAACTGCAGACAACGGACCGGATGGAGTCGATTTCGCCGTAGTATGCTGGAAGCTGATTATCCCGGAAGAATGTATCCGCCTGTGGCGCCATGTCAGGATTCCCATGTGGGTTAACATTTGTCAGGCAGACCAACACGCTAGCCTTGCCTTTGCCCGACCCACATGCACTGACCTTATCAAACCGCCATGCCATCAACAACCCGGGGTACCAGGCTAGCGTGCGCCCTGCATCGCCGCCCGTGTCCATGATGGCGGCCTCAATGTCCCGCGGCCCCAACACACCCGCCTGGGAACAGCCGTATAGGCAGGCGTAACATTCGTCGCGCAGTCCAGGGCACGACATCCCACCGATAACACGGCGCCGACGCTCGGCTAGTTGTTGCAGGAAGGCGGGGCACGCTGGACGGGCGCCTGGCATGGGTAACGGACCGGGCAACGGCGCCGTGCTTCGAAGCCCGCGCTGCGACAACAGGTCTGAAAACATGGCCTGCATACCGGCATCCGTATCCAACACTGCCGGTGCGAAGGCTGCGAAGGACGCATACTTAACTCCACAGCTAGATCCATCGAAGCCACAAAGCGCCTGAACACAAAATTGTGGGTACAGGACCGTGCATGGCGCTGGGTGGCCACAGCAACACAAGTGAACTGTGTGCTGGCGTCCACAGACTCTGCAATCAAGCTGACGTTTCTCCAGGACTTCCATAGCAGAGGCCGGAGACTTCTCCGCCCCGAATACCTCCATGCATGCACCATGGTTCATTTAGCACCGTTCGACACAAGAACCTATGATGATAATATAAACTGGCATACTTATTACAATGGTTTACCGAGATTTTTAGAAATGCTTCCCTACTGTCTAAATACCTTCAGCTTTTTAAAAGGATCACGCCTTAGATATTGCTCAACAACGGCATAGAGATGTATAAGTATACCAAAAGCACTTCCAGCGCCGCGCACTGTCACGGATTAATGCATACACCACGCTTCCGTACAACAAGAGTTTGGTGCGCATGTAAGTATGGGTTGCGAGCGTATCACAGTCGATAATCTTACAATAGTATTACATGCCTACCCAACTTCAGCGTTTAGCGTTGATTACATAGAAGATAGGTTACTTTCGGGTAGGAGTGGCGAGTAAATGGCCGCTATAGATGTCGCCCTGGAGGACACTGCGGAAGATGGAGACCCTCGAGACCAGCTGACACGAAGTCCAAATGACGCGGTATGTCCTTTCTTGCTTTGTGGCTTCCAACCATGCAAATGCGCCATGGTGCACTTGCAGCCATTCGCCTTCACTCGGGGTTTATTCAATTCTCTGCTGTGTCTATAGTCGGATGTCGCGGCTCTCGCGACGTGTCTCCACGATGTGCTGGACGGGGACGATGAACGGGTAGATGCTGTGCGTCGTCAATTCGAAGAAGTTCTCGGCGTCTACTCCGTTGGTGAAGCATGGGAACTGTTCCGAGGTGAGAGATTTAGATTGTTGATCACAGAGAGAAAAGCGCGAGTCCGTGCCAGAGACGTGGGGCGGCGATGTCCCCGTGCTGTGCCGAGAACAACCGGAAACTTTGCGAACGGTGTTTTGAAAGACAATGTGCCCTTCATTGCAGAGGATTTCCAGCTCTCCCCGCTTCGCGCCGCCATGGCACTGAGAGGGAATGTACCGGGCCTTACCGTCTCGGACGCGAAATCCCTCTTGTTCAAGATCAAAACGGCATCGGAGGGGGCCGTGGAGGATCAGGGACACAGGGACGCGGAGACTGGCACCGTCGAGGACGCGGCGGAACTGTGGTCCCGATGAGTGCACCAGCCGGCATCACCGAAGCAGAGGATGTGCCACCCCGCGTCAAGTCGCGTGGTGCTACTGGTAAGTGGCGACGTGAGATGTGTGGTAGGGAAGAGTGGGCAACCTAGAAAGGAGGAACCCACCTCACCCCACCCACCCAATTGCATAATGTTATACATACCGACGTCTATGAAACATCATACCATATGACAACAGATATGCCCCCTTGTTTTACAACCCTGTATAGGCGAGTTCAAAACAAACTGGTCAGAGCTTGGCGGTATAGACCCATATGCATGCTGCATCAGCGGCGGCATCAGGGGGTGGTTCATCGGTGCTAAGACTGGCAACATCGAGAATATTATCAACCACGTCAAAACACGCCAGCACATGATGGCGTGCAAGCAAGAGACACAGCGGCTCAGCCAGCAGGGTGGCCTTGTCGCGCGGCCCATGCCACCACCTGGAGTGCGAGACGTCAGCTGTGCCTGGCCACCTGACATGCGCATGCATCTATATGGCATGTCGGACGAGGCGGCAGAGGAGGAGTATCAGCGCCTCTACAGCCAGTTTCAGCACAGGCGCACACGTCGGCGAGAGCAGCAGCCCAATGCCTTAGACAGTGGGCGCCGCATCTTACCGCGCACTTCACCCACTCCTGCACCTGGAGCGCGCACCGTTGGTCCCAACATGGATCCGGAGGCACAGCGCATCGTCAGCCCCGACGTGGCGACATGGATATCAGCGATAGCGAGTCTGGTGAGGGAGTCCATATGGTTCGAAGCGGAGGGGGTGGGAATGTGCGCCTGTTTCTCTCCAGTGAGAGTCCGGAGTGGTTCACCCCACTGAGTATCATAGAGCTGGTGCGCGAGGTGTTCACTCCTGGCAGGATCGACCTGGACCCATGCTCGTCCGCGGCTGCGAACACACGTGTTGGGGCGACAGTGTATTACGATATGGAATCCGATGGTCTGTTGGAGTGCAACGCGTGGATGGGCAATGTGTTTGTCAACCCGCCTTTTGGGGTGCACGGTGGTGCAAGCTATCAGAGCCTGTTTTTCCAGAGATGCGCAACAGAGTACACGGCTGGTCACATTCACCAAGCAGTACTGCTGCTGAAAGCCGCTGTGGGTTATGCGTGGTTTGATGCCATACTACAATGGCCTGTCTGTTTTCTGCGCCAACGTTTGGCGTTTGTGCGTGGGCAATCTGGGAGTCAACAGCAGGAGGGAGGACCCCTGACATGGGGAGCGCGGGTAGCCAATCCACACGGAAGTGTCGTGGTTTACATGGGCCCAGACGTGCAACGTTTTGTGTCAGTGTTTGGTTGTATGGGCGG